CTATTTTACAGATGAGGTAAGTGAGGCATTGGGGGGCTTCTTCTAAATGTTTTACAGTTTTACTTTTGGGCATTTAACCAATCTAAAATTTATTTTTGTGTATGACATAGCTAGGAATCCAGTTTTAGTTTTATCATATAATTAACACATTTCTCAATATTATTTATCAAATGAGCCATCCTTTCCCCATTGATCTGTAATAGCCTTTCTGTCTTATACCAAAATCTGACTCATACTAGAGTTTCCCAGTCTGTTCTATTGGATACTAGTCTTTCCCCGCACCAATACCATATGGATTTAATTATTATGGTATGGGTTTTGGGGCAGTGATTCTTCTGTCCAAATTCTATTTCTTCAAAGTTGTTTTAGCTAATTTTGGTCCTATGACTTCTGGGATTACCTTGTGAAGTTCTTTATTATTATCTATCTATCTATCTATCTATCTATCTATCTATCTATCTATCTGAGACTGAGTCTCGCTCTGTCGCCCAGGCTGGAGGGCAGTGGCGCGATCTCGGCTCACCGCAAGCTCCGCGTCTCGGGTTCACGCCATGCCATTCTCCTGCCTCAGCCTGCCGAGTAGCTGGGACTACAGTCACCTGCCACCATGCCTGACTAATTCGTTTTGTATTTTCAGTAGAGACAGGGTTTCACCGTGTTAGCCAGGATGGTCTCCATCTTCTGACCTCGTGATCTGCCCTCCTCAGCCTCCCAAAGTGCTGGGATTACAGGCGTGAACCACCGCGCCCGGCCTACCTTGTTAAGTTTTACATAGTATTGCTGGCATTTCGTTATAAGCCCTTTTTAAAACATGCAAATATTTCTGCTGAGTGGCCCCCAAAATCAATATGAATAACTTTGATCAATTTCCTTTGGAGTGAAATAAAGAGTAGCACCATATTATAACCTAAAAAAGAAATTAATCACCTCAATATCCATCAATACAAGATGAGTTAAATAAACTATGGTATATCCATGTAATGGAATAATATGATGCTATTAAAATGATGAAAAACATGTCTAAGTCATATAAAACAGATCTCCAAGATATTATTAAGTGAAAAACCAAAGTACAGAACCACATATATACGTTACCTTGGGTGTGAAAAGGAATATAGGAAGTGTATGTTCATGTTTGTTTGTATATTGACTAAGAAGATCTGGAAGGACGCACAAGTTAATAAAGTGGTTCCCTGCGTGTGCTGGCAGGGGTGGGGTAGGAACTGTGTAGACAGGGCAGGGGTGGAAGAATACCTTTCACTGTATGTCTTTTTATGTTTTTTGATTCACAAACCTTGTGATTCTGCTACCTAATTGAAAAAAATAAGTAAATATTCAAATTTTCCTCCAGGAATTCTGTTTGTTTGTTTGTTTTTGTAAATTAATACTTCTTTAATGTAAAAAAAAATCCAGACAAATTGTGCATTTTTATCATATGTCATTTTTGTTGGAAGGGGTCAATGAAACGTTGGCAATGTAATATAAAGTATCCCAAGTTGGCCTAACATTTTAGGAAGAGAGAAAACCATAGTCTGTGAATCAAACTAGAACTCAGAAATTCTTATAGGATCAATTTGGAAACCTGAATAGAATTACATGAAATTAACATCTTAAAAAATTAGATGAATAATTTTTTTAGGCCAGGCACAATGGCTCATGCCTGTAATCCCAGCACTTTGGGAGGCCGAGGCAGGTGGATCATCTGAAGTCAGGAGTTCGAGACCAGCCTGGCCAACATGGCGAAACCCCGTATCTAGTAAAAATACAAAAATTAGCCAGATGTGGTGGTGCATGTCTGTAATCCCTGTCTCTTATACACATCTAGATGTGTATAAGAGACAGAGCCAAGATTGCGCCACTGCAATCCGGCCTGGGTGACAGAGCAAGACTGTGTCTCAAAAAAAAAAGAAAAAAAAGAATTAAAAAAAAACTGATTTTTAAAAAGGTTTTAACATTTTTGATTTAAAATTTATGAAAATATGTAGATAAAGGCAGTATTATGCTGTAGCTAGCTCATACTGTCTTTGGAAGGCCCATTGTGCATATCTTTCCCCAGTTTCACATTTAGTGGATAGCATTGGCTATATTAAGAGTATCTATACCATGGAAATTGGCAAAGCTACAAATCAAGGCCTTTTCCCCTCTCCACAAGAGATTCATTTGTTAAATTTACCAGTATACCACTGGATAGAAGTAAGTTTAAGATATATTAAAGTTCAAAATATACAACCAAAGGAGAGATTCTGTGGCACTTGAGACAATTTTAGATAACTGCAACAATATTTGGGGAATAACTTCATGGCTGAGGTTTATCTTCTAACACAAGGTTTTCTTCACAGTTGTGCTCTACATGGGTCAAATACAGTTTTAGAGTCAGATCCCTGATAAGCTTTCTATTACTTTTTCAGATTTCTCTAATACAAGTTGGAGTATAAATTAAGGTAATGGAAACTCCCATAAAGGTAGGACATATATTATCACTCATAGTATGGAGAATGGGTATTTTTCATATATTACTGTGTACTATTTTGTATTTCATTTGTTAACTGCCATATCTGCTTCAACTCCTTCAATTAAATTAATAACATGAGGCTGGGCGTGGTGTCTCAAATCTGTAATCCCAGTGCCTTGGGAGGTCGAGGTAGGCAGATCATTTGAGGTCAGGAGTTTGAGACCAGCCTGGCCAACACAGCAAAACCCTGTCTCTACTAAAAAAATATAAAAATTAGCCAGGCTTGGTGGCAGGCGCCTATCATCCCTACAATCCTGCACTCAGGAGGCTAAAGCAGGAGAATTGCTTGAACTTGGGAGGTAGAGGTTGCAAAGAGCCAAGATTGCGCCACTGCACTCCAGTCTGGGTAACAGAGCAAGACTCTGTCTCAAAAAAAAAAAA